CCAGCATTAGAGACTTTATTTATTGCTAAGACTCATACTTGAACTTCAAGATGTACTGTTTTGTTGCTAAGTAAGTATGGGGCCATGTTGTAGGATATATTCTGATTCTGATTTCTGATATAAGACAATAAAACTGCTACTACACCATCACTGTCAGTTTCTGATACGGACAGCTGAGAATCCACCTGATGCTAAACATGGACTCATGAGGTATAAGAAGGAGGAGATGACCTTGTTCGGGGCTCAATCTTTGCCGGACGCTCGCTGACGTTTTCTGAGCCCACAGCTGTGCCAACTCCAAGCAAATTCTCTGTCCGGTAACAACCCAACCTGGAATAAACTCTGTTACTTTTTTTTACTCCTGTTTTATAGTCCTTTTTTATATGGTTTCACTCAGTTTGAGTTAAGAGTAGTAAAGAAGCGGTAGGGAAGTTCCGAGGCACAGCTGCCTTCAGGGGGACATAACTTCCGTATTTAACAATGCTCTACTCTACTACTCCCCTCTGAAGGCACATCTCTTGGACTGAGTTTAGAAAAGAAACTCTCTCATTCAACTTCCTGTTGCCGGTGGCCCCCGGCTACTAAAGGCTTGTCTAATCGCTTCTCAGCTGAAAGTTACGGTGGCCCTGAGGGTTGACCTTACGTTAAGTAGTAACCAAATCTCTCAAGAGAGAGATCTGTGCTTGCTGGACCGAGTCAGACTACCTTTTTTCTAATGATTCAGAAGGAGATGATCGTAGTGTTTTGTCCTTTTTGCTGCGATTCAAACCGAGTTGAATGCAGTGTTTCCTGAAACCGTCTGCTGCTTAAATGTAACTGTTGAAGGAGCCACGGGGGGCCCGTTAGAAGCCGTCAACCGATGCCATACTGGTTCTGCCTGAGAGAAGCCTCCAGGTTGCTGCAGGGCCGCGGCTGCCAGCTAACCGCTGTAGTTAAAGGGAGATGTCCCGCCAATAACGAGTTATAAAATTAACCCCCCTGCAAAGTTGCCTCTTGTTATTGGATTGGATTAATCCAAATATCTTTAAGAGCGGCTGTTGGACAAACAGACTGGGCAAAAGACGGCGCCTGCAGAGAACCAGACCAAGGCAGGAAGGCCTTCCACTCCACCAAGCCAAACATGAACATCCACCATTCCCCCTTTCCATCTGATGCTTAATAAGTGCTTTGCTTGGGTGAACTAGGTAGAATTGATCATTTTGTTTTGTGTTTTTATTTGAAATAGGCTTTCTGGTTCGACTGCTGATGGTTTTCAACAAAGATGCTTTAAAGATAACCTGTGTATCGTAACTGTCTGCACATGTTCTACCCCTGCCCTGTAGGTAAACAGATACAGCAAATGGAGTGTGTCAGTCTTTGTGTGTGTGGTTCTAACTGGGTTAGCGATTTGTAGCCTGTGTGCTACGTTTCCTGCTTCATCCTTTCCTAGTGAACAGAATGGAGAGGGAACAGGATAAGGTAGCAGAGGGAGCTTCTGCAGCTTTAGTAGAGATGGAGGCCCTGAGCTCTAATTAGCTTATTAATCTCTTTGTCCACAGAAGAGCATAAAGCGATGAATAGTCTCAGCATAGAGGCTTGTGAAAGTGAGATTCAGAAAGTGGTCGAGTCAACTAGAAATCCTAGAAAAGATCTGCTGGTTAATGATGTGTTTGATCAGAGAAAGTCACAGAAACAGAACTGTGTCTGAAGGCTGAACAAAGAGCTAGAAAGGTAGAAGAGTGTAGAAAGGCGACATCTACCATGCTGGACGGACGGCGAAAGGGGGAAGGCCCCCTGTTCACAGGACAAAGGAAGAGGAAGAGTGAAACCGTTCCTGCGTTAAAGAAGTTGTGTGAAAAGGGAGCCAAAGGAGTTCCTCCTCCTCAGGCAACCACAGAGCAGAGAGTATGATGGAGCAGGATCGGTTTAGCAGTGCTGTGTGTGGTTCCACTAAGCAGAACAGCTTCAGGCCACAGAGGATGACACACCTGACTGGCACGCATAGTTAACGGTTATAGAGTAGCACAGGATCCCGACCTAACAGAACCCTATCTGCTATAAAACCCAAACATCCCAAGTCTCCCGAATTCCGGGAGTCTCCCTGATATAGATAGTTGTTCACGGATGCCCGCGAGTCGGATAAATCATCCTGGATTTTAGACTATGTGAGGTGGTGTTTTTTTAATGTGAGTGAGAGTGGGCGGGCAATAATTCATGCACCATGTGTGGTTTAGAACTACTGCGATTACGCAGACAAAAAGAGAGAGCGGGGTCTGAGGAGGAGGTTGCTGGTGAAACCTGTGCAGCGGATCTGTCCAAAGCGATGCTCTGTTCAACCAGCGTTCCAGGCGACTGGTTGATCAGAGAGCTGATTGGATCAGTCCGATAAGTTTCTCTGGGTTACTCTCTGGCAGTCACCTAGTTACCACTCAAAGCTGTGCATCCTGGGAAACGGCAGAGGTTGAATCCTCGAGTAAAAAATGAAAATATAGGACTAATTTTAAAGCAGAATACTCGTAGTCTCCCGCTTTATCCGGAACCGGGTCGCGGGGGCAGCAGACTAAGCAGAGACTCCCAGACTTCCCTCTCCGCAGACACCTCCTCCAGCTCTGTTGGGGCAAGCCCTAGGCGCTCCCAGGCCAGCTGAGAGACATAGTCTCTCCAGCGTGTCCTGGGTCGTCCCCTGGGCCTCCTCCCGGTGGGANCTGGTTTTCCTTAGATAGAAAACTTTGAATCAATCTGACTGGATGATCTGGTTGAACTGGAAAGTGACCTGAGATGACATGATGTGAATTGGAGCTATAGAAATAAACTGAATAGAATTAAATAAAGTTCAATTATAATTTTAAAGAAAGATCTCCCTCTTCTGACCGTGTGGCTGTACTGCACCCAATGCAATGGACAAAAAGTATAAGAACATCAGCTCCCAAGCTAACATTTTATTTTCCAATTTATATAAAATTGTTAGTGTTTTTCAGTTTATTGGGGTGTAATGAACGAACGCTAACGAAACTTTCTTAGTTTAGCCTATTTTATCATTAAAACTTAATTGTTTTTTAATTGCATTAGTTTGAACCTGTCAGCTGTTGAACATCATTTAAAATTATTTATCCAAAAACTTGTTACAAGCTTATGACTCACAAAGTCCATCTATTACAGACAGTATGAGTATTTATTTGGTCACAGTGAACTTCAGAGGGAGGGGAATGGTGCTGAGTTTCTGGGTTTACAAGCGACCGCATAAAAGGACAGTTTTCTCAAAGTTATACTATTTTGCTTTTTAGCACCAAAAGAAACTAATAGATATTGTGAAAAGCCATGAGCGATTATTAAGGAACTAATTTAAAACCTTTCCTACTATGATGTATGCTGGTGAAGATTTTCAGTCCTCCAGGTCATAGGCAATCCAAAAAAAGTGGAAAAAAAACAAAACAGTTTCACTGGACTTTGTTTCCAAGTTTGAAGACGTTTCCCATCCAAGGAGATGAAATTGACGTGCGTTTAAGTTTTTAGGAAATACTATGATGTATTAACTGTGTTGCTTCCAGATGACACATTTAAAGCTGTCAGGCATTAATCTGCACAGACTGAAAATTACTAGTTTGACAAATCAGATTTATCAGATTTTCACAATGTGAACCTCGTGGGAAGATTCAAAAAGCCGTTGGAAATAAGACTGCAGCCATTTTAACCCTATAATGCCAAATGTATCATCTTTGATACATACGGTTTCTGAAATGTTTTGCGTCTGAAACCTTTTGCATAATTTAATGGTAAAAAATTTGCTCAAAATCCTATTGTACACAATCAGATATACCTGATAACAGAGGGCAGAAGACTACACAAAAAAGAATCTTGATTTATCGCATAGTAATAAATTATTAATATCAAAAATGTATTTCTGTTTTTTCTTTTTACATATTTTGTTAAAAGGCCAAATAAGAGGTTAAAGGTCTGGGAGAGGATTTAGAGAGAGGATGTAGGAATTTGACCAGATATTACCATGATTGGAAAAATGCTCTCTAAGTTGGGGATAATTTAAACTAACAGGTAAAATACCAGGAATGACCAACCAAAGAAGCCTCCCCTAAAAATGTTTTATCTCCAAAACATGTTTGCCTTCATACTGTTGCGAGATCATCCATCCATCCATTTTGTGTCACGCTTATCTCTGCTGGGGGGGGGGCTGGTGTCTATCTCCAGGTGTCTCCAGGTGAGAGGCGGGGTCCACCCTGACAGGTCTCCAGTCCATCGCAGGGCAACACAGAGACACGCAACCAATCACACACACACTGACAGCCAAGGAGGATTTACTGAAGCCAATTAACCTAACAGGAATTTTTTAGGACTGTGGGAGGAAGCCGGAGTACCCGGAGAGAACCCACGCATGCACAGGGAGAACATGCAAACAAGCCAATGTTTGAGTTCATTACACTCTCATATTATCTCCATGTCAGAAGTGATGTTTTCCTCAATAGTTTGTCTAATTAGGACAGTTTCTCTGTCAAGATATACAGTTTTAATCGTCATTCTTTACATGGCAAAGATTTAGGAACGGAATGAGAGCAGCGTCCTTCAGCTAAGAACAAAGCGTAATATTTTGATAAGTCTGTAGCCATGGATGTCTCCTCATCTGCTAACGTGTGATGATGTAATGATGCGACAGACTGGAGACGTATAAAATGCCTCTATAGCGGAGAATCAGGGTCACTTCCTGTGAAGTGAGCCCGGTTGGTAAGCAGCTGCTTTCTGTAACTCAAAGCAACTTCTCTGATCTGAGTAAGATTACAATTTCTATCAAAATCAGTTGGTTATTTAATACATAGAAGTTATGAAGTTTTATTTAAAGAGTTTGTTCCAAGTGAGGAAAAAGAACCGGAGAGAGAAAATTTCAAGGTGGAAACAGATTTTTCCATTAACAGAAAAAAAGCACATCCTTTAAATCAAAGAACACAGAATTGACTTTGAAAGGAGGTAAGTTGGGCAACATTTCCTCAAATTAAAACCATTATCTTCTAAAGAAAAAAAATAAAAATAAAAGGTGAATAAATAAATAAAATGTATATAAACTTAGTTTTGACCTTAGTGAGTGCAGACAGTAAACAGAGGTCTATTTTTTATTTTGAATGAGTCTTTTAATTAATGCATTTCAAGTACTCCAAAAAATTACATCTCTTTGCACAATACAATTTCAAATTTTTATTTATTTTTTTTTTTAGTAAAAATGTTCAAAGTGAACAAAAATTTCGAATACTGTATAAAACACAGTGAACATTAAAATCAGACGGTTTTTACGCTTTAATCATGTGTTCTTACGGCCTACGTCACCTACAACATTTCAACTCAATTGGGACATTTTTTTCAGTGCACGTTTATCTAAAAACAGTTTTTTTTTTTTTTTTTTAAACCAAGACTACGAAATTAAAAAGGAAAATAAAATTTACAGGCATTTTTTTTTTAGACTTCTGCTCGTCTACCCAAACCATGCCACAGGAAAAGAGAAAAAAATAAAAAATAAGAATCAACATGAACTCCGTCACTGAGTCGTTAAAGTATAAGAAAATTCCAGTTCTACTTTTGCACAAAGAAGAACATAAATAACTTAGGAGAGGAAACTTTGTCACATATGAACATTTTTAACTAGTTACTCTGAATTTTGAAAAAAAAAAAAAAAAATACATGTATCAAAAATGTAGTTTTCATTTCTCAAATTAAATGCAAATTTATTTTCCAGGTACTGTACAAGTTTACAGGTAAATTCTGCAGGCCTGACGGGTGAGATGTTGGCGCTAGAGATGAGATTGAGGAGAAGAAGAAGAAAAAAAAAAGCTCCATTTTTGTACAGAGATGAGGAGTGGGAGCAACTTTCAAACTATCGGATTTCTCTGCCTGGTTGCAGGAGGCGTGTCCTTACATCATGATTAGGATAACCAGCGTTGCATCAGTCCTCATTAGTGTTGCATGCATTTCAAACTTAAAGTCAAAGCACATGTGGGACGTGTCATCTAAAATCTGTGCTGCTTGTGCTCCACCTTTGCATCTTCCTTGCAGAAGCGTAACGTTTAGTGTCATTATAGGGGACATTTTGCCTCTAGAAAGAAAATAAGTGCATGCATGTAGAGAAGGATCCCTTATTTTACCGTCTATATTCCACTCCCTTTGCTCAAAACTCTGATTTCAGCCTCGAAAAGAAAAAACTCGCTTGCAAACGTTCACCCTCCTGCAAATATCTTCTGCTGCTGGTTGAACCCCGCTTCTCTTTCACCTCCTTTAAAGTGATGAAAGCTGCAGTTTTAGGCGTTTCTCTTGTTGCACATTTGATTTGCTTTCAGTAGCTCTGGCTGACAATAAAATGCCACCAATGAAATTAGTGTAGAGAAACGAAACAAGTGCAGATCGGTTATAATCCAGCAGATTCTAACAGGAGTGGAAGATATTTGCAGAAGTAATAAATCCAACTGCAGAAGCACGTTTCTGTGTGGGAGCCGAAAATAACATCCGTTAGTGAAAATACTGAATTTTTCCTCAATTTAAAAAACTAAAAAAATATTTACGCCTTCTCTCTAGCCATACGAGTTTACATCATCAGGTAGTTCTTGCTTTCTAATAAATAAAATTCCTAAAATGTTTCCTTTGCAAACAGCTGAAAACAGAAACCAATCAGATTTCCTTCCTGCAGCAAACCGTCCAGATCCAGATAGATTCCATTAGCGGCTCTCGACGACGGCGTTGATGTAAACATCAGGAACAACTTGGCTCTTTACGGGATCTGATCCTCGGAACGAGAACAGGAAATAGCTGCAGGACTTTTCCTGCAGGTTAATAAAAAACGAACCGAAGAAAAACAACAGCAGCCGTCGAGTGAAATACAGAAATTACAGACCTTCGTCAATCCAACGTCACACGTAATGAAAGTGTCTGCATGCCCACATTGAACAGATCTTAAGATTCACTATCTGAAGAATAATATGATGATTTCATCTTACATTTTTTTTTTTTTAGTAATTTTTAAGATTTATTTCCACACTCATGTAAACTAACTCTGTAACACGACTCATTTCTAGACTCCTAGCCTTCCTTATTGAACATGATCAGCTTCATTCTTCGAGAACAAAAATACTAACGTGATCCTTCCTTTCTGTTCCCGGGACGCTACATCTCCTCACGCAGCCAAATGTTAGCAAGACCGAAAAACAAAAAAAACAAACAGGGAGATGATGCCCTTAGTGTTCATAATCTTAGAATCAAGTAAAAGTGAATGCGATCTGACAGACGGCGACACAAGAGCGTCAAATCCTTAATGTTCCTTCATTTATGTGTTAATAATCCTGAGAGCACTAACCGAAAAGAAAAAGAGAGAAAAAAAAAGTGAAGAATTACACATTTACAGTAGAAGAAATAGTTTGTTTTCACTTATGATACACTAATTATTTACAGTCACATGCAGAAAGATGTCTGCATGAGGAGACCGGAGCCTCTTTTGCTGATCGACGCGTGTAAAAATCAGAAGAGAAAAAAAACATCTGGGCGTCTCATTTCCGGCTAGGATGGTGAGGAGAGAAACAAAAGAAGAAGAAGAAGCGGAGAAGGATTCACCAGCAGCCACGGCTAGTCACTCCAAGAAGACGTTGCAACGGACCGAAAAAACACATCACAGGATGCACTGACGCCACGCGGGTTTAACTCCTCGGCACGCCGAAGAAAAAGGGAGAAAAAAAAGAAGGGAGGAAAAAGCAAGATGGAAGAGTGATGCTTAATCGCACTGCGCTGGAGGCGGCTGAAGGTCCAGTCAACGCCACAAACAGCCGCTTGAGTTATTAGACAATGTTTACTCTTGTTCCGCGTCAGCGGCTTGTCTGCAGGTTGGAGGAAATGACGACGATAAACAACCATGTCAGGCTTTTTCTTTGGATGGAGTGACGCTTTTGTTTCCCACTGTAGGCACGAGGAGGAGCCAAGGCATTGGGGGGGTTAGCAGAAGAGAGGTGGGGGGGGGCCGAGGGGTTCTCAGCGTCTCATCTGGCCCATCTGATAGTTCTCTCTGGGCTGGCGGTGGTGCCTCTGGGGCTGCGGCTGCCGCTGCGGCTGTCCGCGGGCTTGCCGCTGGGCGCCGTGGGCGTGAGGGTGCTGGGACTGGTGCTGCACCTGAGAGCTGGCGTGCTGCTGCGCCCGTCGCCGTTTCAGAGTGCCTGGGACGAGACGCAATTTCAGATTAACTCCTTTTAATCCCATTAGAAGAAGAAATGTGTCTTTGAAATAACTGGTTTAAAAAGTTTCATACCTTCTTTTTTACATTTTGTCACATAATAAACATCTGTATATGTAGAGAGCTTTATATAATAGAACAAAACAGCCTGACTCGTAATTATTAGAGATGCACGATATAATCGGCCTTAAAACTGAATATTGGACATCGGCCACCCCACCGATATTTAACCCGATATTTGATCAGCTTCTGA